CACTCTCCCTCTCTCCGGTTACTAGGTATAGCCTTGTTGTGTTTTATTTCCCTTCGGGCCATTAGCTCTTTGCGGTCATGTCCCTATCATGCCGACCGAGAACGCAAATAGGGACGACGCAGCCAGGGTGGGAAAGGGAGGGACGGGACTTTCCCCCGGCCACCCACGAGGCACGGAGGCGAGCTCCGACATGTGATGACCCTCGCTCAATCTTGCCCGCTCACGGTCCTTGGCCCTTTCTCCTTGGCCCTTTCTCCTTGCATGGAGGTGCCTGCTGGAGGCGGAGGCGGGTCGCGAGGTCCCTAGCCTAGACAGGGCGCCCGAGGAGCCTGCAAGGGAGCGGATGGTAAAAGGTTCCAAGGTTTAGAGCTAGCCGTTGACGTTGCGCCGCAGTTACAGTTGCAGTTGTATCGGGCATTTTTCTCTCCCTTTTTTTTTTTTTTTTTTAAAAAAACATTCGGTGTAATTGTATGTTCCCTACCTACATACGTGCCCGGTGAAGAATAGGAGGCGAAGAAAGTTCTACACAGCAACAGCAATACGGTGCGGGTTTGGGATGCCACCGGCCGGTCAGCACCTGCTACAAGGGAAAGCGTTGAGCCGGGGGGCCGCCTCCTTGAGCTGGGTATACGGAACAATGATGCGGTTAAACAAATATCACCGAATGGACTGGCCCTTGGCTCGGCGACAGGAGAAAAAAATGGCCACCGCCTCCCCAGTGGATCGCAGCCACCGAATCCAGATCCGTATCGTACCGAGCACGCATGGAGAAAGCCCGAGAGAAAGGCATAAAATAATAACAAAAAAAGAGATAGCCGGGGAGAGCGGGGGCGTTCATGAGCCTTGCAAGCCGTCAAGTCTGCATGGCGCCATCGCCGTCCCCAGTCCTGCCCTGCCCATCACTCAACAGAAGGCCATGCGCTCGGACAAGATTGGCTGGGCCCTGACGACATGGCGTTTCGACCACCAGGCACGGGGCATGGGTATACATAAGGTAGCTACCTATCTAGGTAGGTAGGTAGGCGGCCAGCTACAGGAGGCACACACATGTACGGAGAATGCGGCTGGGCACGCAACGCGTGTGGGATGATGGTGATGGATTTGCTAGACAAAAAAAAAGGCGGCTCGAGTGTAAACAAACGACGGGGCATGGAGCCTTGCACAGGCTGGGCCGCCCGTGGGAGATCCCCTAGACCAGCGAGGAAGGTTTAGAAGCTCGCGGGGATTGCGTCTTCCAGGAGGTGATGCTTGGCTTTTTTGATGACTGATCAGTGGGTGTGCATGGGACAAGGTGGCGCAAACCCGATGAAAGCGAGAAGTGGGAGCAGGGGGTGTGTCGGTGACAGGTATAGCGAGGGGGAGCAATGGAAAAAATATAAGGAGATAAAATGGAAAATAATAATGGTAAGGGAAAAAAAAAGAAGAAAAAACTGGGGGATCCCGTACAGCGCCATTGAAACAGAGACCGTGGGGCCGGGTGGAGTCGGAAAATATGAAAATGAAGCTTGAACCGAAAGGCATTTGCCGGGTCCCTTGCTGGCAGACATGAGCCCCTGACTCCTGCTCGCCTAGTAGCTGCCTCACTCTTTCTGCTTGTGGGCCCGGCCGGCGAAGCTTCGATTCCGCGCGCCGCCGCCGACGACGAACCAGAGAGGGCGGCTGTGGTAGCATTGTGACAGGGGTGGTGGTGGGTTGGAGAGGGGGGGGAGGGAGGAGGAGAACGACGACGACGACGACGACGCCCGCGGCCAAACAACCTCTCCAGCTTTTCATGTGTTACAGACATGGCCAGACCGCACAGAGCATGTGGTGCTACCCTACCAACGCACCACCGCCTCATCCTCTCACATTCTCTTCCCGAGTGCTTGGAAGACCCAGTTGTGTGTGTGTGGGTGTGTGTGTGTGTGTGTGTGTGTGTGTGTGTGTGTGTACGTACGTACGTACAATTACCTAGGGTAGGCAATAGTGGCAATCAAGGGCGTCGGAAGAAAACCTTGAGTGTGATAGGACCAAGCAGCAGGAGACATGGGACCGAGTGCTGTCTGTCTGTCTGCCCACCCCGCGTCCCTCACCTACCTAGCTTTGAGCTAAGTCTCGGGACCATGTCAAAATATCAAGTGGGGGCAAACGACAGGCGAGCTATCTACGGAATCAAGCCGCCCTCTCCATCACCTGTGCATCCACACACCCACAGGACACACAGAATCGGCCTCCATGAGATCTGCGCCGTCAACAATCACCACCACCACCACCACCACCACCACCGGGGTCCTCCAACCTTTTTTAGGGGTCGGCGTTAGAGACAGGGGAGGGGGTGCCCTGACCTCACGTGGCCAAGTTTTGAGGTTGCATTTTGCCCTCTCACCGTCCCGCACCTTGTCGCTCGTTTGCGAAAAACGAGCCCTGACAGGCAAAAAGAGCGTAAGCACAGAAGCGCCCGAGGCGCCGGGTGGACTATGCGGAGGGAGGGGGGGAAAGAGAGCCAAGAGAAAAGAAGAGAATAATGGGTAGGCTGCATGCCACCCCACGAAAATACCACAATAACGAGAGGTGAGGATGGCAGGCCGCGGAGGAGTTGGATGTTTCTAAACATGGGGGAGGAAAAAATAAAAAAAATAAAAATATAGCTACCGCGCCAAGCCGCAGCCGAACGACTGAACAGAAGCTGGTGGGGTTTGGCCACATCCGCAGGTGGGCCAGCATCGCCCGCATACAAACAGACGCCGTCGACAAGGTCCGGCCGGGAGGAGGGGCAGTCTAGCGGCGTCGCCTCTTGGGAGGGCGGCAGACGGGTTAGCCTAAGCTGAGGAGCCTATCGCCCGCCGCCGTCGCTGCACGGATCGTGGGCCGGGCGGGCTCCCGGCCTCGGCCGATTTTGGTTCTCTCCATCTTACACACGCCTACCAAGAACAAAAAGGGACAAAAAAAAAAAAAGGAGAAAAAGTGTCCGTCGAGCTGACAGCTTTCCACGTGCCACACCAACCAAATCCTACCCCGGCTAGCTCGGCCTGGGCGTCCAGATTTCCCCCCTTACGTGTCCGTGCACCCGGTACAATGACACGTACCGGACGAGGAGCTCACTCGAAGTGGCGGGTGCTACGACCAACCAGGCGCCAGGCACTAGACATCATGCCTCCCCAGCACATACCTTGCGCGCCGTTATAGAAAGTACGGTGTGCTCGGCTGATGCTTTTTAGGGGGCCATGTCTATAGGTGCGCTCTTGGGTATCACGGCATGTAAAAGAGAGACAAAACAAGAAAAAGAAAACCCGACAGCCCGAATTTGAACGGAGAAGCGGTGCGGTTCGTTCGGCGTCCTTGCTATCTTTCTTGGTGCTGGTGCCGCCCGGTTTTGCATCTTGCTTGACATCACGGGCCGCCGCTTTTTTTGAGTTTCTGGACCTGGCCTTGAACACACGGGGACGCTAGTTGAGAGAGGATGGCTAGCAGATGGTGTCTAAAAAAAAACTATGAAAAAAAGACTAAAAGAATAAAACACCCTCCAAAGCCCTGTCCGCACATACAAACAGACAGAAACAAACTCGGGCGCCTACCCGGGATAGGAACGATGGGGGGTGAGCTGCCACGCTAGGAACCGTTCGGCAGAACCTGCTTCTTGACGGACGGACGGACGGACGGCCGGCCGTTGCCTTATGCCAAAACAAAGTTCCCCAGGGGGTTCTCGGAAACTCGGCTGGTAGCTACAGTCTACCAGGACAACAGCCGACGTGCCCTTTCTCTCGCTCGCATGGGGGCCCCCCCGAGGTTGGGGTAAGCACACGTAGGTGGTGGAGTTTTTCCTTCTTTTTTTTTTGTTTTGCTCCTCCGCCGCCGCGGGCCTGCCCCCCGATGCCGGCAGTTGGGGAAGATGCAGGTCACCTGGAGAGAGTGAGAGGGAAGGAGGGAGTAGAGAGAGACAGGGAGGGAGGACTTTGATCCGAGGTTCGCGGTGGCAGGGCTGCATCGTCCGCCTGGCGACTCGATCTAGAGTCACTGGGAGAGGTCCGATGGATTGGGCAGCTGCCACGTATCACCGCCTAGGCGGGCAGCTAGGGGTCCGTCCCGGCGACGGGTACACGCTAGTCCGGGATGTGATGTCTCGCTGCGGCATTGCAAGACCGCACCCACCGCGCCTTGGGGAGGGGGCACGGCCACATGCTCCTTGAATGGATAGATGGACGGGCAAGGCCAGGTGCATACAGGCTAGCTGACTGGCCCGGCCGGGCGGCGCGGTGCACTTTGGCATCCAATGACTTTGCATCGCACATGGGACGATGAACGGCGTGCGTTGGTTATGTCAGCAACACCAGCCCAGCAGCAGCATGAGTGCTGTACCACATGGGGGCTCTGGGGCAGCTAGTCCGAATCTGGACCTAGCGGGGACGGTGAGCAAGAGCTAGGACGCCCCATGGTTTGCACCCTCCATCGCGCGTTCCGTCGGGTCCTTGTCAGGGCGGCCGGGCACGCCAAAGGTCGGGGAATGACTCCAGCGTCCGATTCCCGGCTACCAAGCAGCTCCCTGGCTACGGTGTTTAATTAGCCCAGGTTCTGGGAGTGCGAGAACCGAGCACGCGACCCTTGTTCGTACTGTCCTCCATGCTGGCGAGTGTGTGAGTGTGTGTGGGAGGGTGTGAGTGGAGCCGACTGCTAGTTTCTCCAGGGGTTTTCCTTGGTTGGAGCAACAAAAACGTGCACCCCGCAACGAAGAGAGAAAAAAAGAGAAAAGGAAACACACGCCCCTCCGAGAAATTCCTAGTTGGTCGGCGACCTCACAGGTCCGGGATCTATGACGGCAGTGGAACCGATGTTGTGTGTGAGTGTGTGTGTGTGTGTACATATGATGTAACCGACCTTGCTGCAGCTCGGTCGGTGGCAGCCGCGTCGACATGCAGACACGCAGAGCAGGCACCTAAATATGCACTCACTGCATCCAAGTCGTTGTGCTGCTAACTGTCGAGACTGCCACGTGTAGCATCGAGCCAAAGGGGGTGGCGCATTGGCAGCGCGCCCTGGCTGGCTGCCTTGGCAGCCACCTCCGCGGTGAGGCAAGATATCGTCGACGTTGCCGCGATAGGCAACCGCCTACTTCTTGGGAGGGGGAACGTCTTAGCCAAGGGTGGCTGTGTATGTAGCAATAAGCGGAGGACGAAGAGAAAAAGAAGAGACTAGCGGCAGCCCTAAGCCGCACAGGGAAATGCGGGAGCGGAGCCGTCTAGCGTGGCACTATCCCTTGCAGGCCTTCACTTCCCTTACCCTGGTCTTCCTTCCATTGGACTCCCAGCTTTCGGTGTGGGATGTCCGTCCACCAACCAGACGATCCGCTTTGGGCCACTTTCAATGCTCCGTCGGGCGGACTTGGTTACCACAAGCCACCCGACCCTGTAAAAAGACCCGGCCGGTGGCACCCCTCCTCGGGCGGCGTCATTGATGTATCCCGGTTTTCGTGGGTGCCAGGGGCAGGCTGGCGACTTTTCAAGGCGAATTTGAATTTCATGCCGCATGGCCGAACCCCTCGCCTCGGTGGGTGTCAGATGGCCGGGACTAGCAGGGGCCGGGCTTTATTTTCACTTTGCCTGCTGAGTGGGCTGGCCGTCCTGCATAGGAGAGGAGCGAAATGGGTGGCGGCATGAGGAGCCCTCCTCGCTAACCTCACCGAAGCGCGGAGTAGGGAGTTGGTCCGGCATAAGATCGCATGTCTGTCCTAGGTATTGTGCTAGGTACTCGGAGATGGTAGCAAACAGAAATATAAGTACCATGGGTATGTGCCCACCTTAGTCATACACCAAAAGAGAGAAATGAAACAAAAGAAATACAGGCTTATTTGGGGTCAAGAGCCGAGGCCGGGGTTGCTGGGGTTGCTGCAGATGGCTGCTGGTAGAGTTGGCAGACATTATCATGATGGTTATTATTGTTTGTTATCGTGGGCTCAGGACGAACGCATGGCATGGATGGGCCCGGCAGCAGCCGGGAAACCCTGAAACCTTGAGAGATCTGCCACTGCAAGGGATGGGAATCCGCCTTGGTGCCAGATATGGTCTGCATTTCCGCTCCCCAACGCCGCTGTCATCTCGCCCCCGTCCGACCGCGCGCGAAAGGGGAGGGGGGTGGTAGGGCGCGGAACATGCCGACTCCGCGCCGCACCATGAACGATAGCGATATAGGAGATGACCATCGTGCGCGTTACTGTGGGACGCAAGCGAAGGTCGGCGGGACGTTGTGGCGCCATGTCTTGGTAGGGGCGCCAGCATCTTCTTTTTTTCCTCCTCGGCGATCCTTTACCCTCGTTCGGTCGGTCGGGTGTTTGGAAATTGTCCCTGTTTCCGGTGAGGCGCGCGAGCGCAGGGGCGAGGGCGAGGCGAGGAAGCGGTTGTGTGGTAAGTACTAGGGACTACCTGGTAGGTGCACGGCAGCTAGCGCCAACTCAAAGATGATGACACGCAAATGATGGCCGAGGTGGCGGGGGTGACATGAGGCCATCCCCCCCTCCTATGGCCGAGAATAGCTCGCGCTCGCATTGCATCTATGCATATCGAAGGCGACAGGGGCGTAGGCAACGTTTCTTTGGGGAAGAGCAAAGAGAAATCCAAGATAACCGACAAACATTGTCGGCCCGCCGCCGTGGTTGGAAATCGGTCTCCGCGGGAAGCGCCCAGCAACGTGGGGGAACAGGTGACGGCGCTCAGGGCAGGGCAATGCAGCAACCAGCAACCAGTAACCAGCAACGACGGCATGGGTCCCAACCCCCATGGTCACCACCGTCCATCCACAGCCCTGGTCCCCCAATCACAGCGTCAGGCCAGGGCCCCGGTTTTCCTGGCCCGACCACAGGGCCTATTGCAAGGGTGAGGAGGCGGGAGTGGGGCGGCCAATTGAGCACGGGCGAAGATGCCAAACTCTGGCTCGCGCCTGGCCATTGGACGGTCGGGAGCGGCATAGCACGTGCGCGGTATTACTGAATGCAGGTTCCAGGGAACATGTGCCGGCTGGGGCGAACTAGCAGTGCCAAAACGGAAGGAGGGTCCTGTCCCAGGTCAGTTTTGACGAACACGTAAGCAAGGCTGTTGCGCACCTTGATGGGCAGGGAGGCAAGCCCTAATGTGGAGCGTGAAATAAGATGGCGGCGAACCTGATCTGACAGTGGACCGGCCCACACACCCCGGCCGAGCCTCCAGGGTATGGTATACCTACCTAGTCCGTCTCGACCGTCTCAACGCCAGCCGTATCCAACAGCCGTGCCCTCTGCGTAATCGTCTGTTATACGATGCTGCTCCTGTCATGGCGCCCATCTCTCATCGGCCATCTCGTCAGCTCTGCAGGGGTGCCGTACATGGCCCAACATGGCCCAACACGGATAAGCATGGATGGACATGGACGTCCAAACAAAGACAGGCCCAGCCCGCTCCGCCAATTTGGAATTGCTCCAGAAAGGAGATCTGCACAGACTCGCTCGTTATCTGACCCTATCTCCGCGCTCTGGATTCCGCTTTGGAAAAACAGACCATTGTTGATGCCACAACCGACCAAAGCGACCACCTTTGGCCATCTCGGGGATCTATGCGGTCACCACCCCACCCGAGGGCCTCGATCCCACGCCGTCTCTTTCGTCGCCCCAGATTCCCCAGCCTGTCGGCGGACCAATCGCATCTGGCCCCTCGTCTCCCTGACTGTCTGCCAGCCTGATGTGCTGATGTCTGCCAGCCTTGAGACTCCTATGCCTGTGCGCCTGTCCAGCCCAGCGACGGACTTTTTGATATTGATGACAGTCAATCTAGGCCTCGACCAAACCAGTCCATGGCAGCACGCACTAGTGCTGTAGTTGCCAAAATAGGCAGCACCCATGTCCATGTCCCATGTCCGTCCAGTCCCCCTCCCTCTCCAAAAGAACAGCAGAAGCTGCTCTGGGCTGGGCTCAAGCATAGCATCGGGCTCCGTGCTGGCTCTCGGTTGCGTCGCATCACGGCCTTGGCGGTGGCTGCGAGGAGGCAAAGAGAGGCAAAAAGAGCGAGGTAGGTACCTACCTAAAGCCAGACCAACAACCAATCACCACCTGGATCTAGGCCTTCTGTTCCATTGACTCGTCCTGCCTGCTTCCCTTCCCTCGCTCGACCCCACGCCCCACCCCCTGCCTCACAATGGGCGCGTATGTACTGTAGGTGGTAAATCGCTGGCTGTTGGCTCCTCCTCCTCCCTCCCCTCTCGATCATTCTCGATCATCGGCGATGATCGATATTAATCGCCGATGGGTAGGACGCCGAAACACCCCTGTGTTTACAAAGGTCCGCCGGCCTGTTCGGCCCGCCTCGTCGCAGCGAGCAAAATGGGCCAGATGGGGGCGGGAGACACAAAAATCTAGTCCTACCTACCTTCTTTGGATGAAAGAAAAAAGGGGAGAGGGGCGGCGGAATCGACGCCTTGAGCAACCACTTCGGCAGCGCTCCAGGGGGGGGGGGGGGGGGGCATGAACATGTCCAAGGCGGTGCCAGCAACATCGTTGGCCATTCCAAATCCTTCAGCGCGGGGCTGCCTGTGCAAGCAGCCCGAACGCCCTATCTTGCTTGGTGATTTTTTTTCTTCATGCTGTCTCTCTCTATCTCTCTCGCTCTCTGCTTGATTCTTCCATTCTCAGTGTCCGTCTCGGTGATACCACGATGAGACGGTCGCATTTGGCATGTGATCTCGAGTGAGCGAGAGACCACCCTCGCACAGTCCAGAGCCCGTCCTCCTCGCTGGCCGTAGCCTGGTAGGTGTACCTTAGCAGCAGCTCCTGTAATGTACTACAACCACCACCACCACCCACAATTCCTTGTCCCCTAACTCCTCGTATCCATGCTCATTCCCAACCCTGAAGGAACCCTACCGTCTACGTAGCGGGAACAGCATGCATGGTCGAAATTGAGAAGTATGATTGAGTACGTGCGTCAATGGAACGGCCTCCTTTTTCAATCCAAGCCTCGTTTTTTTTTTCTCTTCTCCCAACATTCCCCGTTTCAAAGTATTTCCACAAAGGCCATCGAATACCCATTGCCCTCAGTTTGCACACGCAGTTTCCCCTGTGTGGCTGTCCCCAGTCGGCTGGGCGCGTGGCCTCCTCTCGCTTGTCTCACTGTCGTGTATTTTATCACGGCGGGGGGGCCAAGCCACCGGAGTAGGGTAGGCAAGTCGGCCGGACTGGACCCTGCCCTGCATGCATGCCGGGGAAGGAACGAGGTCGGGGGAACAGGACAGGGACGGGGACGGGGACGGAGAGAAAAAAAAAATACCAAGACTTGACGTCGGCTGTGTTTTCGGTTGTTTCTGCCCGCTAGCAACAAAAAAAAAAATCAGTAGCAACACCAGTCGTCGCCCATCCCCACCCACCCGCACACTCACACACTGCTGCAACCACATGGCTGACAAAGAAGAAGAAGAAAAAGGTGTGAGGGAAGGTGTGAGCAGACGCCGGGTCCCGCATGTTTTTTTGTACTGGCATGATGCTTGTCTCGATGTCTGAGCCGTCCTTACCCGTTGTTGTTTCCTCCTTCCTCCCCTCCCATCTATTTTTCTCTGTCCCTTGTACGTAATTCGCCGGCGATCCGGTCGACGGGCATGTCTGTCCGCTGGACGGAAGAGGTCAGGAAGAGGCCAAGGTCAGGGCTCGAGATTGCGTGCGTGCATGGGCCTCGTCCCTCGTCCTTAGGTATGCACGCGGCACTGTGATGATATGCACCCTATCACTCACTCCCTACACCTTGGGGCCCAGGTTCACTACGAGCTGGCTACCTAGTTGGCGGCTGCGACTGGGCCATGGAACATGCCGTGCTGGCCACCTGCCGGGGCAAAAATGCACATGCGAAAGATAAGCAGGACAGCCCGCGCATCCAGGCCCGGGACGAAATCCACCAGTGGGACTGGGTAAAAGGCTCGGCCAGAACATGGATGGTGCTTAAAGGGACGAGAAGGGATCGGGTCTGCGACACGCATGAGCTAGGAGGGAAAAGCACAGCACAGCACCATACAAAATGGAAGGAGTCGATGAAAAAAAAACGCCAACTGAAAATGTCACGGGCTTTAGGCCCGAGAGTCAGATAGATTAAATAGAGAGGAGCCCCTCACGTGAGGAGTGGGCTTAGAGGATCACCCCGCCCGATAAGGGCGATAAGGGCGATAAGGGTGGGGCCGCACGCACGAGATATTTTGTGCGCCTGCGACCGCCTTGGAGGGCCCTTTTTTGGCTCCTTATAACCCGATTTACTACTTGTACTACTGTTTTTTTTTGTTACTTTACTTTATTGTAATAAGTAGTAGCAACTTTACTAATTGCAAAAAACCTAATTGATTTTTTTAATTGGTTATCGTGTTATTAAAGAAATCCTTTTTTTAATCGGTTATTGCGCCGCAAAAAAAACCTTTTATTGCGATTAAGGTTGCGCGTTTTCCGGAGGGTTTTTGTGCCGCGAAAAAGTTGCGTACTTTAGTTTCGAGTGCTTTTTTAACCGGTTTTTGTACCGTTAAAGTTTTTTTTTAAACCGGTCCTTGTACTGTTAAAAATATTACTACCGTAATTTCGATTTGCAATTAAAAGCTATCGGTTGTTTTTAACACGAAAGGTTTTTATATTTACGCTTTAAAATCCTTTTTTTACCTTGTTTTTAATTTAATGCGATAACCGAAAAAAATAATTTAAACCTTTATTTATTATTATTTATTTATACGCTACTTTGTTTATGAAAAAAAAACCCTTGGGTTAGGCTTACAAGGGAAAACCTTACGCTTGCGTTCCGCTTTTTTCTAACGTTGCGCTTCCGTAGCGGTGTTAAACCGCTAGCTGCGCTTACTTTTTTCCTCCGCTCGATTGCTTGTAAAGGCTCCACTCGGGAATTAACCGTCCTTTCAAATTCAGCCCCTTTTGCAAAAGGCCGGCAACGCTGCATCCTGCGTGTCACGGTACGCGTCGGGGCACCTGGGGAGGAACTGTTAGGAGCACGGGCGAGACCGCCCGGCAGAAAGCGGGGGGCGTTAGGAAAATGGGCGAAACCGCCCGGCAAAAAAGGAAGAAAGGGGCGCTGGCAGCCAGCCGGGCATGGACCTTCCCGGGGACATGCCGGCGAGTTACCGGTATCGCGGCCAAAGTATAACGGTAAAGTTAAAAAATAAGGTAAAGCTTAAATTGCACGAAAGCGCATGGAGCGCGAAAAACTTATAAAACCAATTTTGCGTGCCCGAAAAAGCACGAAAAAAAAAAATTAAAAAGGAACAATTTTTATTAGCAATAGCATTTTTGGTAAAAAATTTACGAAGGTTTAATAAAGGAAATACCGTATCCGGCCCGTAACCCGGTAATTACCCGCTTTTGTACCGATTAACCTTTAACATATTGTTTTTTTTTATACCTTTTTTATTTGGGAAGCAAGCCCGGGTAATTATTGGAAAGGATCGAACAAATTTAAAAAGGGCATTTGCAATTTCGCACCGTTTATAATAACGTTTAACGTTACGTTAAGCACGTTGGAAAAAGCCGTTGGGTTACCGGAACAAAATATTAAAAAAGCCCCGCAAATTCCCGATAATTTCGAAAACCTTTTCGTAAAAAAGTTGCAAAAAATAAATAACGCGTTGGAAATTTAAAGCAAACGCGCTCGCTTAATTTAAAAAATCCAAAATAAAGGGTTAAAACATGCGCATAAAGGTTTAAACGAAAATAAAAAAAATATTTTTAAATAACGAAAGGGTTTTACGTAAAACAAAATTACTTTTAAGCTTTTTATACTTAAAAAATCGGCAATTTAGCAAAATATTGCCCATTACATTAACAATTACAAATTTATTTTTAAAAGCGAAAAAGGACGTTACGGTAAAAACCGTATAAAAGTTTAAATAGCTTTTAACATTTTTAATCATTATTAAAAAGCGCAATAAACAAAATACAAATAAATGCATTATTTAAATACCGGGGTATTATTTATTTAAATTAATTTTTTGCGGTAGCTTTAAGCAAAATCGAAAAATCCCGATTCGCGAATATAGCTAGCAATTAAAAAGCTTGCGGGAAATATTGTTATTAAATAAAAAAATTACGAATTATTTAAAACGTTTCGAATTTATTGGGATTTGGTAAAAAATAACCTTTTCGAATTAATACCCAAATAAATAAGGATAATATTGCTTTTTAACCGGTTTCGCCCCAAAATTTAAAAACGGGTAATATTTAAAAACCTTTTTTACATTATGGAAAAATTGCAAACCAAAGCTTTTAAAGCAAAAATAATATTGGAATTGTACAAAAGGATGCCAGGGGATATAAATATTTTAGCTTTTAAAAAGCCGGTTATTTGCTTTAAATGCGGGCAGTTAAGCTATATCGTTGCAGCATGCAAAATACGAACGGATAATTTGAAAACCCCGTTAGCTTTAGCAACCATACAAAGGGCGAAAAGAAAAAGGCCCGAAGTACGGTGTTACGGGTATAAAAAGCTAGGCTATATTCGGCCGGCGTGCTTTAAAAAAAGCAAAATATTGCCATTTAATTCGATACCGCTATTTAGCCGTTTAAGCACCGGGGCTTAAAAGTACGCCCCGGCGGCCAAAACGCGTTAAGAAACCGAAATGTATTTACAAATTAACGGTTGCCGGGTAAAGTTAAAAGCGTTAATTAACAATAAAAATAACGTTAATTTATTGCACAGCCGTTTTTTAATAAAAGCAAAAAAAATACCGGTGCTAAACGGGGGTTACTTAGCGTAATTTAATACCAAAAAATGCATGCTTACGCTAAAAGTAAAAAAATATAAAATTTAAGTAACGGATAGCTAAAAAATAACCCGAAAATTAATGGTATTTTACGTAATAATGCCGCGGGCCGGGTATAACATTACGTTAAACATGCTTTAATTTTAACAAAAAAATATTAAAATTTGGTTTAGGGATATAAAATAAAAGTTCCCGGTAACCATTAAAAAGGTTAAAATAATTTTGCCGGAAATAGTTAAAAAATTAATTTAATCGGAACAAGCGATAACCGTGCTAACGGTTGCACGCTCGAAAACCCCGAAAAACCCCGGGAAAAGGCTAAAAGCTTTTCCGGAATGGGTTAAAAAAATGGTTGCAAAATATGCGCAATTTTATAAATTAAACCTTTTGTTAAAATATATAAGCTAAAATTACGCAATTAAATTGGAAAAGAAAACAATACCGCTTTATAAAAGCATTTATTTTTTATTCGAAAAGGAATTAAAAACCCTTTGGGGGTATTTTAACAAAGTTATAACAAAGGGTTGGATCCGGCATTTAACCAATCCCGCCGGCGCCGGAATTTTATTCGTTTTAAAAAAGGACGGGAAGTTTCGCTTTTGTATTAATTATTGGGGTTTTAATAAAATTACCAGGAAAAACCGGTTAACATTCCCGTTAATTTACGAAATATTCGACCGGGTATTTAAAAACCAGTATTTTACCAAATTAAATTTAAAAAACGCTTATTACAAAATACGGATCCAATAAAAAAACGAATGGAAAATTGCTTTTTGCTGTAAATATGGACATTATAAGTATTTGGTAATGCTTTTCGGTTTGGCCAACGCTTTAGCAACGTTTTAAAGCTTTATTAATATAGCGCTTGGGGAATTAATTAATAGCAATTGCATTGTATATTTAAACAATATTTTTATTTTTTCGAAAATACAAAAAAAGCACCGCAAAGTAATAAAAACGGTGCTGGAACGATTTAAACGGTTTAAATTTTACGTTAACCCGGTTAAATGCGAATTTAAAACGGATAATATTAACTTTTTGGGGTTTAAAATAATTAAATTCGGGATTAAAATTTTGCCGAATAAAATTGTTGCAATTTTAAAATAAAGGATACCGGAAAGCGTTAAAAATATTTAAGTATTTTTAAGCTTTACGGGATATTATTAAAAATTCGTAAAGGGTTACGCGAAAATTACCGTGCTTTTAACAAACCTTTTTAGCAAAAATACCGTATTTTATTTAGGAAATATTGCGAAAAAAGCTTTTTGCAAATTAAAGTTACTATTTACGAAAGCTTTGGTATTGGTGCATTTCGACCTTTCGAAACCGTTATGCGTACGGATTAACGCTTTGGCTTTTACAATAAAAGCGGTATTGTTGTAATTGCAAAACGGCCGGTAGTACCCGGTAATTTACATGTTAAAAAAGTTGCAATAAGGAAAATTGCGTTATGCAATTCTTAATTTAAAATTGTTAGCGATTGTAAAAGCTTTCGAAAAGTAGCGGCATTATTTAGCTTATTTACGAAAAATTGTTAAAATAATTACCAACCATTTAAATTATACCCATATTTTAATAAAAAAAAAGTAATAAAGCGTTAAGTAAAGTAATTTAAGGATTTAGCAAAGTATAACTTTACGATTAAATGGAAGCTAAAATACCGGAACCCCGCAAATGGCTTATTAAAACGCTTTTAAAATATGCTTGCAAATAGCAAAGCCAATATAGCAAAAAAAAAGTTCCGGGGCAATTTATTGGCCAAATTTAAAATAGCAGCTTACGTAAAGACAATTATTATTAAAAAAAATATTAAAACGATATTAAAACGCATTTTCAAAGCACAAGCAAAAAACGATTTCGTTTAAAGCGGTATTTGGAAAAATAAGCCCAACGTTTAAAAAATTAGCAATGGTTTGCTTAAATATAAAAAAAAAATTTGGGTTTCGAATTTAGCGCCGTTGCAACGGGCAATGCTTTAGGAATAATACGATAGCCCAACGGAAGGTTACAAAAGCATGGCCAAAATTTTAAAAAAGTTTAAACGGTAATTTAAATGGCCGGGTATGGCTAAAAACGTACGCAAATACGTACGAACGTATTAAATATGCTAGCAAATAAAGCTAAAAATATAAATACCTTACGGGTTTTTAGCACCGTTGCCCGTGCTAAACCGCCCGGAACAAAAGTTATTAATGGATTTTATTGGAAAATTTTTAACGTTAGTAAATGGAGCCGGCAAAAAGCGCAATACAATATTAATAATAATCGACCGATTTATTAAATATAGCTTTTTTATTTTAACGTTTACAAAATTAACCAATAAAAAATTGGGAAGCTTTTTGTTTGCATACGTTTAAAAGTTATTAAAAACGTTTAAAAGGATTGTATCGAATCGGAACAAGCTATTTACAAACGGGTTTTAAATAATTTTTGCCGAACATTTAAAGGTTGCAAAAAAGTTATCGATAGCATACCATTTTTAAACCAACGGGCAAACGGAACGGACGAACCAAGCAATAAAGCATTATTTCCGGTGCTTTTGCTACGAAAAGCAAAACGATTAAGCGTTGTTATTGCATTTAGCAACGTAAATGCATAATACGAACGTACATTTGGGGTTGTAAAAAACCCCGGCGTTTTTGTTAATAAAGTTTTACTTACGAAAGCTTTATAACTTTCGGGTAATTAAAAAAAAACTTTCGGTAATAGCCAAAATTAAAGCAAAAGCTTTGGAAGCAATTAAAAAGCAAGCTAAAAAATTGTTAAAAAAAGCAAATAATACGTATAAAAAATATTATAACAAAAATAAAACCCCGGTGCTTTTCGGGGTAAGCAATTGGGTATTATTAAATACGGCGAACATTAAAATGAAAAAGCCGTTAAAAAAGCTATTAAATAAATGGTTGGAACCTTTTTAAATTTTAAAAATGGTTGGGTTAGCCGGTTTGGCGTTCCGGTAAAAGCTTTCGGTAAATTACCGGATATATAACGTATTTCCGGCAAATTTGTTGCGAGCGTTTAAAAAAAGGCCCGGCAAAAAACCAAAAAATAAAAAACCAAAAATTAAAAAAAGGAAAAGGATTACTTCGAAGTAAAAGCTTTGTTAAAATATAAAAGGCCTTTGCAAAAACGAAAATATTTGGTTAAATAAATAAATTATAACGAATCGGAAAATTTGTAAATTTTTAAAAAGGATATTACGAAAAAAATTGTTTAAACGTATAAAGCAAATTTATTAAAAGCAAGCTTATAAAATAAGGAAAATATCGAATTTTAGCGGGTAAATACCCGGAAAAAACGGGGGTATTATAGGAAAGGAATAATAAAGGTTAAAAAAATGGCCCAAAAAAATATTTTAAACGTGCCGAACCGGTTGGCCACCGGGGAAAAACGTAAAAAAATCCGTAAACGGTTTGTAATAACCGTAAAATATCGTACTTTATAA